CAGCATTCATTCCTGCCTGTGGCAGGGGTTCAGGCTAGATGATGTGTTCAGGTCCCTCCTGTAGTAGTTCACTACTAGCTGCTCCACTGGCAGATGGGGCAGGGGTGTAAGATCTGCCCATAACCTAGATAGTTCCTAGCTTTCACTCCACGGTCACAGGGTGGGGCCTGAAAAGCCTGTTCCCCACTCAGCTCCACAAGCACAGAGCTGGGTGGGGAACAAGCTGGGGAACCTATTCCCTGCTCAGCTCTGCGTGCATAGAACTGGATGGGGAACAAGCTTCCAGCACCAGCTTCACAACTGAAAGGCACAGGCTGGGAGATCCTTATCTCTCAACCTAAACCCTGCAAACATGGAGCTGGTACTGGGAGATAAGGCTCTCCCATTCCCCACTCTCTGATAGCAATCTCAAAGAGTGTGAGGCTTGGAACTGCCAGCTGCTGGGGCAGGAGGATGTAGTCCCTGCCTGGGCTCTGGTGGTGGAGCCTGCCCCAGCAGCAGGCAGGTCCCGGGGGCAGGAAGCAATCTCCTGCCTCCTGGTGGCTGGCTGACTGGAAACAGATTTGCTCCTGGTCAGGCATCTACACAAGCATTACTGCACAGTAGCTACTCATGAGTAAATTTGCTTCTTGCATTTGCAGGTACCAAATTTACTCACTATTAGCAAGGTTCACTGAGCAGTAAGTATGTGCATGTGTAGACACATATGCTTACTGCACAGCAAACTATGCTACTTTGTGTCTTGCGTAGATGCACCCACAGAAATGTAGAACTTAGCCTTAGGCAGGAAGGGTTCTTTGAGTAGATGTGATATCTTTTATTAGACCAACTTAGTAGTTTGAAGAAAGTTGTTAGCAAGCTTTCAGGTGCAATTATCCTTCTTCAGGTGTATGAAGTCTTTGTTGTTCTGAGGCTTCAAGGAATGAGAGAAGCTAAAAGTGTGACAGGATGTCAGTGAAAATGTAAATAGGTATAAATTAGGAAAATAAAAGGTAGAGCAGGGAAGGGAGGGTGGGGTGCAAAAAGCCAAAGGTGAGTAAGGGAGACTCTACAGTAAAGAGACTGTCTATAAAAAAAGAAATAGCTGGAAATTAGGAAGACAAAGGGAAGATATGGAAGGGAGGTAAAAAAAGGGATGGGGGAGAAAGTGTAAGAGGCCAGGTCTGGCAGGTACCTGGTGAATCAGATGTCAGGCAGGTTGTAATGTGTCATAAATCCAATGTCTATATTGAGTCCATGATTATTTGTATGCAGTAGATTTATGAAGTGAAGTTCATGGGCTCATCTACAAAAGGTGTTTTGTAAATTCCCTTTGAGGATTAGAACTGAGAGATTGGAGAAAATGATAGTCTTGTGAAAAGTGTGCTCCCACAGATAGCTGGGTATTCTTGTCTTTAATAGATTTTTGGTATGTGTTCATTCTGGTGTGCAGTTGTTGTTTGATTTCTCCTACATATTTTCTTCTCAAGGCATTTGGTGCACTGGATGAGATATAAAACATTTCTGGAGGTTCAAGTGCAAGATCCAGGAATGGTGACGGTTTTGTTTTGGGTGTAGTTATGGTGGGTGTGGTAGAGATGTGTTGGCAGATTTTGCATTTCTTGTCCTTAACCTTACATTTTTCACCAACAAAATGGAATTTCCCTGCACATTACAATGCATTCTCCACAAAACAAAACATTTATATGTGAACCAAGCTGCCATGCTATTAATAGACTGTACATAACTGGAATTTAAAAAGGATGTCAAATTCAATACACTTTAATGCCCATCACACAGATACCCCTGGTGATATTCCTAGAAAAAAAACATTTAAAAGTCAGATTTGTGGCTATATGAATTGTTGTTTTTAATTTGAATCTTTTCAGTTAATGGATTACCAATTTTAATCTACTTTGAGCTGATATAGCAAAGTTACCTTTAACATTTTACAGCATACACAGGTCATGAAATTGCATTTGAATTTGATAAAACTATAGATAACTGAAGGTTACTTTTTGGTCTGTAAACCCTGAAATGTTCTGATTCTATTTCATTGGCCATATTGATAGTAGATGCCTTAACATTCTATAAACAACTAGTTTAACAAATCTATCATTCAGGTATGCCACGGCATCTTTTAATTATGTTGCAAAATAATAGTCAGTGATGAAATTTCATATTTCCAATGCCTTCCAAGAACTCAGTCAAGGTTTTTGTCTTTGCTAACTCCTTACACAGATGACTTCTGAAATCTGCTTCCTTCAGATCCATAGCTTATGACAAAGCTGTGTAAGAGCTATTAAAGGACTTTGGGGGCAAAGCTTAAATCATAACTGCCCTTGTGGGTTCATAAAAGCGCTACTTGAATAAAAGACTCAGAGAATGTTTTCCTCCTGTGTGTAGCAACTGACAACTTTTGAAATGCAGCTTTGGTTGGTTATTTTATTTATTCATGATTTTAGGAACCACAACATGAGAATCCTCCGTAATTTTGTTCTTTTACCTGTTTTTATAGATACTTGGCTCTTGTCCAACCATTTCGCCTCACCCGCCTGAGAACAATATCTAAGACCATTCGAGTCAATTTATGCCTATGGATAGCTTCTCTTATTCTGGTATTTCCTGCATGGGTCTACACAAAAGTAATCAAATTCAAAGATGGTTTGGAAAGTTGTGCTTTTGATTTAACATCACCTGACCACGTACTTTGGTAAGATTTTAAAATGCTTCAGATAGTCCCCTTGTGTAAATTAGGGTGATCCTGGGCACATCTACACGAGATGCTATATCACTGTAGCAATGAGCTATGGCAATGTAGCTTGTTGCTACAGCAACATAGCATCAACGGGCACTAACTGTGATGCCACAGCTGCTGTGGAGTAGGGTCGAAAACTGTGTGGGTACTGCACAATCAGGGGCACATATAGGCATGCTCACTGTTGATTTCAGGTCTGATTTATATCCTTTGAAGGTCTGACCCAGTTTGTCTGCAACATTACTATCCCCTGACAAGAGTGGAAGCATGAGGAAAACTTTGGTCTTTTACTTAGCTTTTTAGGACACCATGGCCTCTAAAGCACACTTGGATTTTATAATTACTATATATGCCTTCAGCACTATGAAATTCAATGGAGCTGAACATGAGCTGAAGGCTTGACCTCATGTACTTATCCTCTGGCTTGAACTAGGCAACTGTTTTTTTCTACAGACATGCCCCATGATCACTAACCACACTCTACTAGTTTGAGAATATGGGTGATGAAAAAATAATAGCCTGTACTCTTCAAAATACATACCTGATCCTCCCAGGTTTGGGAGCCCAGTCTACAGGTTCCTGTCTCATTTGTGGAATTGGAACACACTAGATGAATTACAACTAAGCAGAAACATAAAAATAAGAAAAGCTATTGCTTAACAGAGAAAGAAAGAGAACTGATCAAACCAGGAAGACAAATATTCATTGCTTCAGTCTTCACAAAAAAAACAAAAATTGGGGGTTGTTAATTGTGAGCAATTAATTATATTAATAAGCAAGAGGTTTGAAGCACAAATCAGAATCGATAAAATGCAGCTAAAGAATACTTCAGTAACTTCAATGTATTCAGGTCGCTAGGATCTGATAGAATTCACTTTAAATTATTCAGGGAACTAACCAAGGACTTGTTAGTGATTATCTATGTGAACTCAAAAAGGTTAGGTCCCAGAGGAATGGAGATGGACAGAAATGGTACCTATTTTTAAGGAGGGGGGAAAGGAGAAACTACTGAATTACAGACCTACCAACCTAACTTAAACAGCCGGACAGATATTTAAGTAGATTGAACAATCACATTTGTAAGCACTGTGGGTAAGTTTACACCACAGTAGTGGTATATCCCAGTCGGGGTAGCCTCAAGCATGCCTCATTTAAAGCTCCTGCCCATTATATTCCAAACTCAGAAATACACCACTGAGGACTTTCCAGAATCATCCCAGTAGCAGCACTCAAGTACGGCAGATATTGATGGCTTGACAGCAGCTGCAGAAGACAACCCCAGAGCATCTTCACCAATGCATTTTTTTAGTTTGGAGTGGGTGTGTATTAGCAGATAGATAGGGTATGGTTGGGCTGTCCTCTCTGGGATACATCACCACCACAGTATAGACTTACCCTTAGAAGATAATAATGTGATATAGCCATCCTAAATTTTTCAAGAACAAATCATGTCAAAAGAATCTAATGTCCTTCTTTGACTGGTTAGCTGGTCCATTGGATAAGGATGAATCAGGAGATGTGATCTATCTTGACTTCAGTAAGATTTACAGTCCCACATAACCAAACTTGGTCATTCTGAGAGATCATATCAAGCAAGGTCCAGCAGGGTTCTGTTCAGGAATCATTTTCCTTATTACTGGATGATGGAAGAGAGAGTATACTTATCAAAGTTGCTGATGAATCCAAGGTGGGAGGGGTTACCAGAATTTTAAAGGATAGAATTAAAATTTAAAATAATCTTGCTAAGTTGGATAAATGGTCTGAAATCAATAAAACAAAACTGAAGTAGAAAAAAATGCTATTATACCTTGATAATAACAAATAGGTAGGTAGGCAAGGGAATGTCAGAAAAAAAAACAATCTGCTAGTTGCAGTGGACCACAAAATGAACATGATCAACAGCATACTGCCATTTCCAGAAAATATGGAGCATATTAGGAAGAAGGTAATTATTTCATTCTATTTAGCACCGCTTAGTCTTCATACAGAAGGGGTCAGCAGCTTTTTGCAGCAGGGGGCCACTATAACACAGTTTATCTCTGAGCACAGGCCTCTTCCAACCCAGCCATGCTGCTGCCTCTATTCTGCGGCCACAGCCACAATCATCCTTTCCCTCCTCACAGTGTTAATGTCACTGCTTCTACCCACGGCTCAGTTGCTTCATGTGCCAAGTTCCCCCACTGCAGAAATGCCACCAACCCCCCACCGCTACTAGATAAAATGGCTCCAAGGGCCAGATCCAGCCTGTGGGCCATAGTTTGGGTCCCAAACTCTAAGGAAGTTGTAAGCAAATGGAGGAATCCAAAAGAAAAAAAGCAAGTATTATCAAATGTTTAAAATATGAGGCCTCTGAAGGGGCTTGATTTTATTTTCACTAGAAAAGAAATGACTTGGAGGGAAGGGAGGCATGACAACAGTCTACAAACATTTAATAGGCTTTAAGAGGGTAGCAATTAGTGGCGCTTGATGCAGAGCAAGAAGTAATTGGCTTACTCTGCAGACAGAGATTTTGGTTCAGTATTCGGAAAGACCTCTTAACTATAAGGATTGAAATGCAAGGGAAATAGGCTGCCTAAGAGGGCTGTGGAATTCCTTTCATTGGAGGTTTTTAAGAATGTTACACAAATATCTATCAATAATGTCTGCTTAATCATGCCTCAAAGTGGGATTGAACCTGATTATCTCTTGAGGTCCCTTCCAGCCCTACCGTCCTATTGATCTTATGCATTGTCTATGGAATATATTATTAAAGATCAGGATTTTCAGACCTACCTCTCAGTTTAAGGTGATAGCTTTTGTGGTAGTAATAATGGTAGAAGCAGTAGTAGTAATAGAACTTGGTGGGAATTTTATCATTGCCAATCACCAGACTGTTAAATCAATAGTGAATACTTTTGAAAAAAAAATCTCTTTATTTTACTCAGTTTATAACTATCTGTTCTTGGTTCATTCAGAATTATGCGCAAAGTATATGACCTGTAAATATATATTTTGTGTTTTATTTTATAAATATGTTCTGATCAAACTTTTCAGAAGCCTCTAAATTTGCATGCCTACTTTTGAGAGCCTAGCTGAAGCAACTTTTGAGTTTATTTTGAAAACTGCTGAACACTGTCAGCTCCCATTGATTTCATTTATAGCTCTGGGTACATAATTCCTAATGGAAATAAACATATTTATTCATATTCATAAGATAATCATAACTTATAAGATATATGTGTAACCACACTGTCTCTTCTGTCTGTTTTATAGGTACACACTTTATCTGACTATAACAACTTTCTTTTTTCCTTTACCACTGATATTCGTTTGCTACATTCTAATTTTGTGTTACACATGGGATATGTATCAGCAAAACAAGAAAGCAGGATGGTAAAGTATCATTCAAAGTATTTCATAATTCAGCTTCGTGATCAGTGATGGAAAGACTGGGTCAATGGGTCAAAGCTTAGATTCACACAAGGGCAGAGGCACTGTAAAGCCAAACTTCACTGAGCCACAGCACCCTAAGGAGCTTTGGGGGGCCTAGGGGGAGCCTTTCAAGGGTGCCTCAGATTGCCATGCAATGTTAGCACTCTTAAGTGTGTAAACAGAATTCACAAAATAAACCCACAGATTTCAAATGGGAATCCATAGCACTAAAAACATCCTGACCTGTTGTGGTCTTTCTAAGTGATTTGCAACATAAGAATTGTTCTATTATTTGGTTCACCACATTCTGACTGTAAAATCCATCCGACCAGATGGCCTGGTGGCAATGCGGTGAGGCTAGTTGTGGTGGGGTAACTCCTATAAAATGCCACAATGTTGCAACCTCACGAATAAGGCGAGTATAAGGCACCTCAGAACCCTAGCTCCCACAGCCTTGTGCATACTGGCAGTTCTTATCTGTTGGTCTCTGGCAGAAGCTACAACCATTGAGGCACTGAATATCCGGACTCAGTCTGGCCTTTGGATTCTGTATCACTCTAAAAGGGGAATGGTAGGTCTTGGGCAGCCTCCACTCCTCCATACTCTTGCCTAGGCATATGTGTCAAAGGTCTTGGTGTGATAGTCAGATTTATCAAGCACCTGACTAGACCTCTTACATGTATACCATGATACAGAGGATCTGCAGCTGCCTACTATAATCTGACCCAAACAAATTGTCATCACATTAGTGTATAGAAAACTCCACAATTTCTCTGCACCATTAGGATCAATGAAGCTTTAGGATCAAATGTAACCCTGACAATTAATGCCCACTGAAAGAAAAATTAAGTTACAGGTTTCCCTCAATTTATGCAGTAAATGTGTTCCCAGAGAACAGCGCATAGATTGAATTCACATAAAGCAAACCCAGTTTACAGTGGAACAGAGAGGGATGCATTCCCATGGTGGGGAGGGAGGGAGGGAGGGAGTGAGACTGGGGCCAGGGAAGGGGCGGGGTGAGGTGCACAGGGCAGCTCAGCGGCTGCAAGCAGGCAGCGTCTGCCACTCCCAGGACTGCAGCAGGGGCAGCACTGTGCTCTTCCTGGCAGTCAGGGCAGGCGGCAGCCCCACTCACCCCACTTCTCCCCACTCACCCCACTGCTCCACTTCTCACTCCCCACAGCCCCAACTGCAGCAGCCCCAAGAGTGGCTGACGCCAGCTGCCTGCAGCCAGTGAGTTGCACCATGTTCTGAACCTCCTGGGGCTCTGATTCCCCTGGGCATCATGCCCCAAACCCCCCCGGCACAGCGCAGCCCAGAGGCTGCAAGCCAGTGGTGTTGACCACTCCTGGGACTGCAACAGGGGCGGGTGGCAGCCTACAGCGTGACAAGAACAGGCTGAGGCCAGCAGCTGTTGCAGGCTGGGGCTCTTCCCAGTGCTCAGTGGCAGTGCTGGGGGGGTGGGCTACAGTGAATTTTGGGGTGGCAGCAGCCCCAGTCCCATCACTGTAGTCCACCCTGAACACTGGGAAGAACCCAGTGCTACTGCCGGCCCCAGCCTGCTCTCATCCTGCTGCAAGCTGCCACCCACCCCTTCTCCAGCCCCAGGAACAGCGGATGCCTCCTGCTTGCAGCTGCTGGGCTGTGCTGCGCTGAGGGGTTTGGGGCACAGTGCCCTGGGGGAAGCAGAGCCCCTAGGGGTTCAGGGCATGGTGCAGCCCAGCAGCTACAGGTAGCTGGCTTCGTCTGCTCCTGGGGCCACTGGAGCATGGGCTGGGGTAAGTGGAGCCCTGGCCCAACAGCCCTTTCCGCTCACCTCACTCCTTTCCCTTCCCCTCACCAATCCCTCCACTCATGGCCCTGCCCCCTCCCATCACAAACTCACAGATTTACCTGCTTCGGGGAGGGGCAGCATGCTTATGCTGATCACATAAGAGAGACTTTACCTCACATATAACAAATTTCGGGCATATAGAGGGTCATCGCATACAAGTGAATTTGCATAAATAGAACCTGCATAAATCAAGGGAAACTTGTACTGTTCTTTGTCCCTGCTTATATCCCAAATGTATTTAACCTATGGTACTTGCTTTTCACTGATCTGCATTTCCCTTTCCATTATTTTCAATACTTGATATTTTACAGTTAGCGCAGTTCATGTTTGTGTTGCAGTTACAACACCGGTATCCCAAGACAAAGAGTCATGAGACTAACCAAGATGGTGCTTGTGCTGGTTGGCGTGTTCGTAGTAAGTGCTGCCCCATACCATGTGATACAGCTTGTGAATCTGCGCATCTCTCAGCCAACACTGGCATTCTATATGAGCTATTACTCTGCAATCTGCCTCAGCTATGCCAGCAGCAGTATTAACCCTTTCCTTTACATACTGCTTAGTGGGAACTTCCAGAAACGTCTGTCTGAGTCCACAAGCATCAAAGTCAAGATGACAGAACGGGAAGTAAATAATATTGAAAACACAATGAAGTCAAGCTTTTAGAAGATTATATTTCTTGGAGAGTAATGTCTTACCTATGTGTTTGTTCCAGTGGTTAAAGTAGAGTTGGCCTGATTCCCTTCTCATTTACATTGATGTAATTCAGTATGTTACACCAGCTGCACCAGTGTGAAGCTAGTGCAAGAGGGAAATCAGATTTATCATTTGGATGATTAGAGAATGTGCAGAAAGACTTTGTTCAAAAGTATTTTTGTCATTGTATAGTTGTCTTCTAATTATGAATAGAACATGGGCCAAAAGGCCAAAATGGATTGTTAAAAATATGCAGTTCACAGGATAGAAGGTCTCTGCCTGATAAGTTCACATATTCATTCAATATCCATCATTGTATGCAAGGTAACGGAAACAAGGAGTCAGTGAAAAAAATAACAAGCAAAAAAAATCAACTACCTGTGAGCCAGAAGTTAGCAGCCATCAATACATGCAGCATACATACAGCAGTCTGCTTTGGTGCTCACTCTCACTGTTATAAGAGTCTACAAGATGGAAGAGACAAAGAAGGAAAGGAACTTCTTGGAGGGGGAAGATGCTTATAAAAATATGCCTTTGTACATGTGCTTGCAAATGATAGAATGAATGGGCTAATATTTATAGTTAATGTACAGTTTGTTTCATTGGAAAATATTAAACTTTTGTTATGACAAAGAGCTGTGTGTTCCAAGGACTGAGCATTGTTTTTTCTTTCCAAAATTATTACTTACAAGAAAGCACTAAAAAGATTCCTCACTCTCTAAAGCATAGTCCTGCTCCCACTAGATTAATACCTAGCTTAATAGATCAATGGCATGACACCCATCCACTTCAATGGAGACAGGGCACACATTTGCAAGGGTTACCAGCATTTCATTTCTATGGTTCCCACTGAAATCACCAGAATATAATGAAGCTACAATGTGAAGCCAAATCTAGAGCAGCTTACTTAGGCAAAATTTCTACTGAAATCATTGAAATTGAGAAGTTTATCTAAATAAGCAGTTGCCAAAGTATTAGGATTAATTGCATCTTTCACCCCCACCTTTTGGTCTGGTAGGGCACATCCAGACAAGCACACACGTGCCGCTTGCCCTGCCTCAAACCCCATTGAGGCAGAGCAATGGGCACGTGCAGGAATGAAAAAATATTCCCTATGCTGCAAGTTTGCAGGATGGGGAGAAAATTAGACCCCTGGATATCCAGGGGTCTAAAAAAACTGCTCCGCAATAGAGCGGAGCAAGGCACGGTTCAAGACAGTGCCCAGAGAGTCAGTCCTCCAAAAGAGATGCTCTGGTTTTGGCTAGAGCATCTCTTTGGTGTTCCTGCTGCCCCTGGCGCTGTCCAAGGTGAATTGCGGGGAGGTTCCATGGGTGTGGGTGGGTGAGGGGTGGCAGGGGGATGTGGGGGGAGTT